AAAGCAAATAAGCTCATGGCTGTGAAAATGCCTTATAACCTTAACATGCTGTACAGATGTGAGTAGTTATTTTTTACTATTTTCCTCAACCCATCAATTTATGTCGGGAGGCCTGGACTTGCTCAGAGAAAATTCATTTTCCCCATACTAGCAGCATTAACCTCAAATAGAATCAAGCACCACTATTCTGCATCTGACTTGCTCACACCACAGAACTTTAAAAACCCAACTGAGAGCGACTAATAATGACATTTGGTGGCTGTTCCTGCTTCCAAAGCCCCACAGGATTTCATTACGGTTAATGTAATTCTCCTGTCCTCTAATGATAAAAACATACTCTTCAAATCATATTTATTTCCTTAAATACACACTGTACCAATGAGCAAAGTGAGGTGGCCATTTAAATTACCTGGAATTCTAGAGCTGGAAGGAACCCTAGGATATGAACAATTAGGACATCAAATGTTAAAGACAGAAGAGACCTCAGAACACAGAATATTAAAGCAGAGCAATGTAAGAGCTGGGATGGACTTCCGGGATCATCTATCCCAACTTTTTCATTTTGAGGATGAGGAAACTCAGGCCCAGAGACCTGTGCAAGGCCACACAGAGCTAATGAATGGCAGAGCCAGGAAAAGGACTCATGCCTTCTGACTCCAAGCCCAGAGCTCATTGTCTTCCTTTTTTTTCAATTGGTGCTCCATCTTACATCATTTTCACTGCCTGATAATTTTCCCTTCTGTAAGGAGGTTCCCCAATGAAGCTAAAGCAAAAGATGACGGTCAGTAGAGGCTAAAAGGCAGAGACAATGAAAGGGAAAGGGGAAAGTCTTCGGATGCAAAATAGATATTTCATTGTAGAAAGGATGGGAGGTTTGAGGAGTTTTATGGTTTAGCCAGGGGCCATCAAGTGGTTGAGCCTGTCTCCAGGGCACAGACTGCATTCACACCTTGGTCCCTAGCCATTCATCTACATTAGATTCCCAAAGAAGAAATGTGACAGATAAAAATGAGGGACTTGACACTAATCACCTTGGGGGAAGAATTTGCTGATAGGAGAGGCCAACTTTCTCCTATCTCCAGTCTAGAAATTACTAAACAGCCTCAGAGTAGAGACTCTAAGAAAATCAGTCAGTCCAGTCCCTCAATAAACATATTAAGCACTTACTACATGCCAGTCTGTGCTAAATGCTGATACACACATACGTATATGTCTGTCTGTCTGTCTGTCTGTCTGTCTGTCTGTCTATCTATCTATCTATCTATCTATCTCTGCTCTGAAGGGGCTCATAGTCTAATGGAGAAGACAACATGCAATCAAATATATACAGAGCAAGCTAAAAGCAGGATAAATACAAAGCAAGTTAAAACCAGGATAAATTGGAAATAATCAATAGAAGGAAGGCTCTAGAATTCAGAGGGTTTGGGAAAGACTTCCTGTAGAAGGTGGGATTTTAGTTAGGGCTTGAAAGAAGTCAGGAAAACCAGGAGGTTGAGATAAGGAGGTAGAGTCTCTTAGAAGCCTTCCTCAACCCCTCTGTTAATTATTTCCCATTTGTCCTGGTTTTAGCTTGTTTTGTACATATTTGATTGCATGTTGCTGCTCCCACTAAATTGTAAGTTCCTTGAGGACAGGGGCTTTCTTTTGCCTTTTTTTTTGGGGGGGTATCCCCAGCGCTTAGCAGAGTGCCTGGCACACAGTAGGTGTTTAATAAATGTTTATTAATTATTGATTGATTAAAGAATTCTAGGTATGAGGGAGAGCCAGTAAAAATGTTCAGAGTCAGAGTCAACAAACATTTATTAAGTGCCTACTGTGTGCCTACTTAGGCACCCTCCTAAGCGCTGGGGATACAATGAAAGGCATAAGACAGTCCCTGCTTTCAAGGAGCTCACAATCTAATGGGGGTAGGGGAGGGGAGGGAGGGTACCAGGTTGGAGGGGAAAGGGGAGATGATGAACTTATGCAGCTGGGGTGGGAAATGATTGAAGAGGTTTCAGTGTATGAGTTGATTTCATCTTGCAAAATGAAGTTTCTAGAGCTGATACAATCCAGGAAAGTAGCTGAGTGGGAAAAGATGAGATTTCCCCAAATGCCAGCCTTAAATGGAGGAAATAGATGGATTTGGGAGATATATGTGTTGTGGCAGAAGACGAGTGGGGAAACTCCTCCCTGTCAAGAACTAAGAGTTTTTCTCCTGCCGGAAAGGACTTTGTAGCACTTTAGCTCAGAAGATAGCAAGCAACACTCTAGTTGAAATGCACCCAGCCCAGCCAATGACTGACGGTAGAAAAAGACTTCAGCTATCCACTGAAGTGAGCTTCCCAAATCCACCCAGTTGCACCCTCAAAAAAGTCCAGTGACCAAGTAGCCTGCCTGATTCAGCCTGGCTGCAATCACCCAGCAGCAACATGCAGGACCGGTCCAGCTGCCAGCAGCAGACAGACCTGGCTCGTTCTTGCAACCATTGCCCACTTCCTGCCTGATTCCACACCTATTGTCTACTATTTCCCTTGAGGAGAGGTCGGATGCGGCATGTTGCCCTAATCATCCATCAGACTTCTAGATTCCTATTGTTGTCCTTCACATTATTGTGATCCTTATGGAAATTGTTCTCCTAGTCCAGTGCTCTTCCCATGTTGCCCTCTCAAAACCCTTAATTTTACAATCACTGTTTTCCTAGTGGAACTCTGTGGCAATCCAACTGATCCATTCCCCACTATCAGAACAAGTTCTGTGCACTCTGGCTCTGTGTCCAGTGCAGATAAGGACCCTCAGGGCTGTTTCCATTCTCCTCCCCTCACCATACTTTGCTGTGCCAGAGCAGCCACCCATAGGCCTTTGCTTCTGTCCCTCAGGGCCCAGGGGTTGGAAGACTTCTCCAGGCTGCCTTTTCAACCTGGGTCTCTCTCACTCCTCCCTATCTCTGCTTTCCCCTATCTCTCTCATTCTCTCTCTCTCTCTCTCTCTCTCTCTCTCTCTCTCTCTCTCTCTCTCTCTCTCTCTCTCTCTCTCTCCCCACACACACACGTCTCTCTCCCTCTGTCTGTCTCTCTGTGTCTCTATTTCTCCCTCTCTGTCTGACTGTATCTGGCTCTCCAATAGCTCATCCTAATTTTGAATAACTCCTTTCTTCACTTCTTTAAGGTTTACAAGGGTTTTTTCCCCTTCATAGTATGAAGTGTGAGTATTATCATCAACCCCATTTTGTAGATGAGAACACTGAGGCTCTTCGCCTATTTCCACGTGGATAGTAAGAGTCATAGACAGTCTGGGGAAAGGAGTGGAGAGATAGACCTGAAAATCAAAGTGGTGTTAAGAAAAGAGATGTCAATTTTTAAGAAGTCAGTCAGTATTCAAATCCAGGTTTTCAAGTGTAGAGTTTTTCCACTATTGTGGGCCATTTGAAGCCAGCATGAAGTCCTCAGGGGCTTTTTTCAGATTGTTTTCTGCAGGGAAATGAAGATCTGGTGTAAAAATAACAAAGAAACTTACCAGATGCAGGAAGTTTGAAATACTGAGCTAATTTTCCCTGGTAATGACAAGAGGACCTTTCTTACAGACCAGAGAACACTAGAACATAGGATATTAGAGCTGAAAGGGATTTTGGAATATAGAATGTTAGAGCTGAAAGAGCAAATGACGTTAGAATAGAGAATGTTGGAGCTGAAACAGACCTTTGAAGCTTAAAAGAACTCTAGAATATAGAATGTTGGAGATTAAAGATACCCTTGGAATATATTATGTGGGAGCTTAAAAGGACATTGGAATATAGCATGTTGGAGCTGAAAGACACCTTGGAATACAGAATGCTGGAGCCTAAGGGGACCTTGGAACATAGAATGCTAAAGGAGAGCAAACTCTTGAATTTCATTGGGCCAATGAGAGGGGAATATTTTGTAAACTGCAAATGAGCATCTCTTCTCTTAATTCCTAATGGTCTCTTTACTAATTTCCCTCTCCATTGTTTTCCTGAGAGGCCTGCTGGATACCTCTAAACTTGTTTTGTTCTATGAGATGGTGTAAGCATTAATAATAATAAATTATATATTTCCATATCACTTTACTAAGCCCTTTGCTTACAATAATCCTATGAGGTAAATACTAAATATTTGTGGAAAGATTGAATATTTTGAAGTCAAGGATCACATCCCACCTGAAGAAAAGAAGACTTGGGGGGATGGATTATCAGCTCTGTCTCAATTATTTGAAGGGTCATCAATTAGAGAAGGAAGTAATTTTACTTTGCTAGGCTTCTTGTTAAAGAGAGGCAAATGTTAGCTCATTATGAAGGGCTCCAAAACAAATGAAGCTGTCCAGTAGGAGAATGGGCTGCTTTGTGAGACTGTGAGCTCCCCATCCCCAGAGGTGCTACCACAGAGGTGATTCCTACAATCGACTTCCATTTTCTAGGTGTTACTGTTACCTGCTCTTCCTTCTCTTGCCTCCTACGTCCAATAATGAATGGGCTACTCATCCCAATTCCTCTTGCTCCCTCTCCAAGGCATTCTTCCCATGCTCCAGGCCAGTTCTGCACCTAGATAATAACTTCCTTTTATTCAGGTGCCAGAAACCTAGTGCATGCCCAACCTAGCCCTGGGCACAGCGCTGTGGGGAATATGAGAGAAGACTATTTGCTTCCACTGGACTAAGAGTCAGCAGATCTTGGCTGTGCCATTTAATTGCTACATTATCTTTGGACAAGTAATTTTGCCCTTCTGAGCCTCAGTCATCTCAGCTGTGAAATGGGCAGGATATTACACTGCCTCCCCCTCAGAGTAGCTAAGGAAAGGGCTTGGTAAGCCACACAGTTCTGTAGGAACGTGAATTCTTTTATGCTGTCAATGGGAGTGCTGGGAACAAGGCTTGTGACAACGGTCTTGAACAAAGATGGCTATGAGGTTACTTTGTTCTTCCTGTAGAATACTGTGGATTCCTCAAGCCAAAGAGGGTCAGGGCCAGACTCTGAAACTATACCCAGCAAAGCACATGGACAACTGTTGTTGTAGCAAGGTAACAGTTTTATTTGGATAGTTGAACTTAGATGGGACCCATATTTACCGAGAGCAGATGTTCTGAGTGTTACAACAAGCAGGACAATAGCCTTTGTTTCCAGAGAGGGCCAAGAGCCCAGGATAATCCTCATCTTTAGCTTAACCTCACTGCTGTGTCCTCACTCTGCTAAGGGCTCCATCACACACTGCATGCATGGGCTCTGGTTCTCCCTCAAGAACCATTCAAAAATCCTCTCTACTACTGAAGGAGGACAAAGCCATATCTCTGTGGGCAGGGCAGGGCAGGGTAATATGGCCAGAAGCAGCATCAGAAGATGCTTTGCTTGGGGAGAATGGTTGAAAGTGGGCCCTGATAGGATTAGATGCTATAGGTGAGACCCCTACTTCCTCTACACTAACAGCTGGCTTCTGCTTCTGATAAAGGTGCCTAGAAAGCAAATGCATCAGTGGGTTGGGCCCTGAGAATGAACTGGGGAACAGGAACAGGAAAGCCTGGCTTGAGATTTTTCAAATTTACTAGGTGGTCTCGTTTTAAAGTTTGCTAAGTACCAGAACAGGAATGTGGCTGGGTGAGGCTATGGGAGGTGAACAGGACAGGGGCCCGAGAGGGTGGGATATGACGCCATCAAAAAAGAGACTATTCTCATCCTTCCTTGGCTCTGAAGCTTGGCTGAGCAGGGAGCCGGGACAGGGCCCTGGTTTTGTTCAGAGCTCTCCCATCTGCTAATAGTGGGTTCCCAGAGAATGAGCCCTTTCTAGCACTGTGAGGTCCTTGCCTTTGCCTCCTGACAATGCTCAGAAGGACTTTTTGTTTCTTTAAACTGGGGACCTTGAGAGTCCAGCTAAGGCAAGCACACATCTTCACCGTTCCATGTGGTAAGTGTAGATTACGTGTTTTTCCCTCTATTGTGAACATCGAATTATTCAGACAAATCTGACTACAGTAAATGAAACCCCTCCACTTTCCCTCTCCCAGACCACTATGTATTTTTACAGAAAGTAAAAGGAAAACAAAAATATCTGGAAAAAATGAATATCACAAGGGCTCTGGAAGTAGTGGCTAGATCTACTAGGCCAATTCTGTAGGAGGCAGGTTGACATGAGGTTGCCAAAGCCATGTTATGCTCAGATGGTTCCAGAGGGTTAGGTGTTAGGGCAGCTTGGTTCAAACAAAGTGGTCTTTTCTTTTTCTCACACAAACATACAAATATAGTAATCGTGTAACATCTAGTTAAGGTCAACAGGACCCTTATCCACATCCTTGAGTGCTCCTGCCTCCCCTGGGCACCCAGCAACTAGAGGCATAGTTCCGGGGGTGGAGAAGCTGCAGCCTCGAGGCCAATGTGTCCCTCTAGGTCCTTAAATGTGGCCCTTTGACTGAACCCAGACTTCACAGAACATATCTGTTCTGTGGCCTCAAGGCCACAGGTTCCCCACCCCTGCGCCTAGGCTCTACCCAGGGAGGGAAGGCCCAGAGACAGGCCTTTGTGGTGGAGGGAAAACTGTTCTTATTGATAATAACCTCTCCTCCCCATTAGATGGCATAAGGACTCCCACAATGACTGGTTAGCTGTCAATCTGGAAGAAGTCTGAAATTATCTAGGGAAGCCCTGAACTTTCCAGGGAGAAATGAGAAGTGTTTAGCTTGATTCCTTTCTCTGGGAAGAAGCTGCTCTTCTTTTAGGTGTAACCCCTAGGGAAGCTGCCTTTAGAAATGACCATCGTGCCCACCCCAACCCTCACTCTGCCTTTTCTCTGGGGCTCTGCAGCCCAAAGGGCTGCTTGTCAGTTGGGAGAGTAGTTTCTGCCTAGAACCAAGCAACAGTTGGGGTCAAGGAGGTGTAGAAACACCAAGGCCCTCTAAGGCTAAAGCTATGTTTGAGCTGGCTAATCGCTTGGCCATGGCAGGCTCTGGGGTGATCCCCTAGCCCGTATTTAAAAAGCTAAGGCAGGCAGCCCCGAGTTTAAAAGGCTGAGCCCTAATTCTCCCATCTCAGGGGTGTGGGGTGATGTGTTGCTGACCACACCAATGCAGGGCATAGCCCATAAACAGATTCCTCAGGCTATGAGCTAGAACAGCATTGCCCTGCCGCCAGCATAACTCAGGGGCTAAGGATATTTTGTATGAAAATGCAGAAAGGAGGAACAAGATATAACCCGCCTGTCACTTTGGGTAAAGATTGAGAAACCCCAGGGTAAGGGGACAGGGACAGAGATGGGGTTGGGATGGCAGTCCACCTTCTGTTCCTTCATCCTGGCTTTCAGAGAATGCTTGTGTTGGGCAGAGAGGACCCACGTGCGTGTGCACCCTTCAGAACATGTGGAGTTTGGGGACAGGTTACTGGTGCAGCTGCCTCAATGACAGACTTCTCTTACTGCCCTTTTTAAGGATGTTGGGGACAGCCTTGGGAAGAAATGGAGGTTCAGATGTCAATGTGGGGTCCAAATGGCATTTGGGCAAGGCAGTTTCCAGGCTGCCTGAGCCCATGTGATCTTGGCCTTCAAGCCTGGAGGTCAGGCCCTTGGGCTCGGATGTGGATGCTGGGCAGGCAGAACCAGGACAACGGCAGCTCTTTACTGGTGGTGTCTTCGTGGAACTTGATGTTTAGATAGAAGTCACCGGTGTAGAGGAAGAGGAGGGCGCCCAGGCATACAGAGTTTTCTGTTGGTCGAACCTGTTGTGAGATCAAAGATGGAGCCTGTTGAAATGCTACTGTAACAATTAATACAAGTGCCCAGATGGTGTTTTAGAAAGCATTTTGCATATGATACCATGGTAAGTTTTAGACAAGCAGGATTACTCACTGCTCCCGCCTGCCCTGTAGGAAACACTTAATAGATGTTTGTTGACTGACTCATTGACTGTTCCTGAATTGTCTCGCGCTCTCCAGTCTATGTACATTAACACAAGCCATCTCCCATGCCTAGAAATGTACACCCTTCTCCTCTCCACCTTTTGTAATCCTTTTTTGCCTTTAAGACCCAGCCCCATGAAGCCTTCTCTGATTCTTCAAACTGAAAGAGACCACTTCCTCCTTCAATTTTCTTGGCAGTCATCAGAATCTCTTACAGAATCTCCATATCTTAGCATAGTGCTTAACACTTAGTAGGTTTCTTAATAAGTGACTGAATGGATCCTTCCCTAACAGATGAGAAAATTGAGGCTTATAGAGGTGGAATGATTTGCCCAAAGTCATAACCTCATGGAATTTTCATTGGAAGGAACCTTACAGATCAACTTGGCCAATCTTTCTCATTTTATAGATGAGGAAAATGAGGTAAAGGGAAGAGAAATGGCTTGTCCGAAGTCATACAGCAAGGAAGCAGAAGAGTCAGGACTAGAACTCAGAGCTCTTCACTGGCCTACAGGGCCCAAATCTCTTTCCACATACAACAAACTGCTGTTCGCACAGTTAGTGAGTGACCACAGCCAGGACTAAAACTCAAGTTTTCTGATACTAAGTCCAATGCTTCTTCCAAAGGACGCCATGACTACTCTCACCTAATTCATAAGAAAGAATTGGTCCAAATGGTCTAAATCATTGAATGTTAGAACTGGAAGGGACTCTAGGGATCATATGTCCAAATTATTCATTCTAGAGAGGAGAAATGACTATTCCAAGGCCACATGGTTAGTGATTGGCAGAGCCTAGGTCTCCTGATGACTAGTCCAGGGCTCTTTTCATTACGCCATGTTGACTCTTCAGAAATATCACCACTGGCTTCACTCTGCATTTAAAACCAAGTTTCTTTTAAGAAATTCAACCAAGAGGCAATTAATTTGCACCTCAAATTGGGATCCAGCTTCACATTTCTTCCTTCATAAAGGATTGAACTTTTGACTTCTCAAAGTTATTAAAAGGGATAAAAAAACCTTTGTGAAAATCTAAACAAATGTGATTCCATTAAAAAAGAAAAAGATGAGATCTGAGCCAATCTCCCTTTAGAGCATATCATACAGGCAAATATAAAGGGATCAACGAGAACAGGGAAGGATGACCAAGATCTCAAGACAAATATTTCTCTACCTTCTGTTGGTTTCAGTGGTTTGGGAATCAAGGCAAATTACTTCCCTCCTCTGAGTCTCATCATCTAAAATAAAGGGGCTGGATTAGATAAGGTCTCAGATTACATCCAGAACTAACATTCTAGTCCTTTCCAGATCTTCCATTCTAAAGGCAAATCATTTCAACTTGCTTGGTCACAGTTTCCTCATTTATAAAATGGGGAAAATAATAGCACCAACTTCACAGAGTGACTGGGGGGGATTCAAATGAGATTATATCTATCTATCTAGTTTATGTGTGTGTATATATATATATACATACACATACATACATACACACACATACATACATACATACATATGTATGTATGTATGTATGTATGTGTATGTATATGTGTATATGTGGTTCTTGGCAAACCACAAAGTGCTATATTACTGTTAGCTACTATTATTGTTCTACCAATGAAACTTTCATATTATGGGAGCACATGCAAAAGAGTCACAAAGTTGCTAAATTAGGTATTAAGACTTTGAATTTATGACTGATGGCAGGACTTTGTTTTGGGGAGTTAATCCTTTTTTCCTCCTTTATTATTTTCTAAATGTAAAGTTCAGTCTAGTAGATGCCACTGATAAAAATTTATTTTACATGTGAGAATAAGCATAGATGGGTTGTTATCTGAATCACTGAAGAGAACTCATGAATAAATGAGATCATGGACCCATGTGGAGTAATTGTATGACTTATGCCCTAAGACCCCATCCAATCCAGTTCTAATGTTCTCGGATTCTCATTTGGAGGAAATGAATTTTGTTGTGGTGGGAGGAATCAGAGGAGTCAAGAAAAATTCTAGCTATTCTTTTCAAGCTGGCAAGTTTCAAGTATGTGTCCAGTGTTAGACACGTGGAGTCTGACACCAAAGATAAGTCTGGCTAATGACAATGATAATAATAAAACTAATAATTAAAGCAACCACTAAGCATTTATATGATGTTTTAAGGTTTGCAAAATGCTTCACAAATATTACCTCATTTTATCTTCAAAACAACCTTGGGAAGCAGGTGCTAACATTATCCCTATTTTACAGATGAGGAGAATGAAGCAGAAAGAGGTGAAGTTGACTTGCCCAGGGTCATACAGATGGTAAGTATCTGAGGCCACGTATGACTTCAGGTCTTCCCTACTCCAGGCTCAGTGTTCTATCCACTGCACTACCTAGGTGCCTTAGAGAGGCTCATTACTAGAAGAACGAATGCAAGTTTTGTTCAGACACTCTAATATTCCAATAAATCTGTGATCTCATTGATGGGTGGGATGTAATTCCCTCCATTGATGCAAATGACAACCCAACCATGCCTAGCTATCTTGTACGCCTCTCATCCATATCTTCCCATGTGTTCCCTAGAAGGGCATCTGTCCAAAGTGCTGGGAGACTTTCTTGTTTGCTCTTGTCATTGGGAGAATGCCAAAGGAGCACATGGGCTGTCCAGGCAGGAATATACTTCCACCTATTTTTATATTTTCTTTTGGTTTATTTTAAAATAAAAGAACAGATCTTTAAAATAGCATTATATTAAATCAGTCACCCCAAGCAGAATGGAACACACTGCTGCTCATCCTTTGCTCTCACTACATGATCCACCTATCTTCTTTTTCAGCCACATATTTCTTTGATAATATCCTTTTCCTTTGTAATTCCTTATTCATAATGTGTTGTAGGCTGCTGATTCCCACCATGCCCTCTCCTTTTTAGCATCCCAATAGGTGATCATCCTTTGCAGGAACTCTTTCAGTGTTATGGAATTCATTACTGCAAAAGGCATTTTGGATAGCTGTGACTGTTAAATTCTTCCTTCTGTTAGGTGTCCCTATAACTTCTACTAAATGGTCCTAGTTCTTACTCTGGAGGCAGGGATCAAATCTGTTTCCTTTTCCCCAGTCCTATCTGCACACATTTGATGGCAGCAATTATGTCTCTTCTAAGTCTTCTCTTTTTCAGGCTAAACATCTTGGTTCTTTCAAATAATTCACACAGCATGGTTGTCAGTCCCCTCACTACACTTCTTTGGACATCTTCCTGTCTGGCACTGTCATTCCTGAAATGTGGTGACCAGACCAAACTACTTTAGATATGGTCTTACCAGACAACATCAGGATGATCCCCACCATATATCTTGGTGGAGTCTATGATTCAATTAGTGTTTTTGTTTTTTAAGAAAAAGCTGCCATTTCATATAGTTGATTCATATCAAACTTGTCATCTCTAAACCCTTTACATCTTATCCTCATGTAATGCAGATAGAGGCACCTAATAAATACTTCAGGAAGATATAACAAATCTATGATGGGAACTCTTCAGGCATGGGGACATTAGGTGAAACTAGAGAGCAGGGCTGGTCGTACAAGGTCAGGCACCTATAGTTAAAGTGAATTCTGTTCTTAGTGTAACTTACGACCATGATTCCTGAAGCTCAGGCCTCACCTCTTCCTCACCTGCTCTAAGACCCTGTTGTTATGATCTGTGGTTTTGACCTTGTGGCTATTTCTGGCACAGACTCTTACATCTCTACCATTCGTCAGCTCCGTTCTTATCCACCCTATCCCCTTTCCCCCATCAGCATGCACAGAAACTTCTGGACTAATAATCTCTTTCCTTACTCTCTATACTGAATCAAGGCCAATCAGCACCATGGATAGCACTCAGTTCCATCCTTTATTGAGACTTCAAAAGGTACAGTACAGGAACATGTTGTTATGTGACCTTGAAGACTGATCTCCCACAGCCAAGATCCAAAACTTCTTTCTGCAGTCATTTTTTCATCTTCCTCGTCTATTCTGGTTGCATGGCAGCAACATGTGCTGCCCTTTCCTCTTGGTCTCTTTTTGACCTTCCCTAGGTACAGTTTTTGTTCTTTACTTCTCAATTTCTGGTACCAGTGCCTCAGCATTGGCAGTGATCCATTTCAGGAGCCAAACAGCTTTCTGAGAGACAGGACTTTGTGCAAACTTGTGGTAAGGGCTTTGGTCTCATTAGTCTAGCAACACACCTGGCTTTACAAAAGGTTCTTCAAGAAAATGAAAAATAATGAGGCAGGGCTTGAGCTGTAGATGACTACCCTCTGCATCAGGCATGGATTTGATTAGATGACCTCAGAGGCTCCTTCCAACTCAAACATTATATGAATCAGTGCCTCTGTGATTCTAAGATTCTACAGTTCTGTGATTATAAAATTTCAAGTTCTATAACTGAAAAATTCTATGTGTCTTGGATTACAAAATTCTATGCATAAGAAGATGAGAATTCAGGACTAGATAGAGCCATGGAGGAGCACTGGGCCTAGAATTTTTTTTTCTTTCTGTTTTTAAACAGAACAAACCAACTCACCGAATCAATGTAGAAGGTGTTGGAGCCCACAAAGGTGATGGCATCTTGAAGCTCATAGTTGTGCACACCATTCTGGTAGTCTTGATAGGGGATCACCGTAAGGGCAAAGGGTCCCACATTTCGCTTGCTCCAGTTGGTTAGCCGTACTTCAAGTGGGATGGGGTCACCGACTCGGCAATCTGCCACAACGTCACAGTCACACAGCTGTCCATCCACTAGCACATCTGGAAGGCAAGATGAGAAAACCGCCAGTGGGTGAATAGCTGCATGAATGCAAATCAGTACATCTTTACTGAGTAATCACCGTGTATCTAGCCATATGCTATGCGCTGGGGTGGGAGATATGTAAGAGGGAGGGCAGAATCAGAGGATTAGAAGAGATAGTCCAGGACGTCCACCCATATGGAAGAACAAATCTTAACATATGTCAAGCAGTCAGCCTTTATTGGACATAGGACTTGACTTGTTGAAAAACAGACCCCTAAAATCACATTAAAAATATGTGCAGTTATAAAATTTTTTTTTTATCAAAAAGTGTCTCACATGACACAGGGTGTCAAACTCAAACAGAAACAGAGGCATTGCACTTTACAAAAAAGATTCCTGCAAGCTGCATATTGACTTAGAAAACTACATATTAACATTTTCTATGTTCTACTGTATTTTTATTTATCTTGTTAAATATTTCACAATTACATTTTAAGGTGGTACGGGCAGCACTTGAGAATGTTGTGGGCTGCAGGCTGGTTGTAGTAAGCCAAGTGTCTTACACCTCTGCTGTATGTGGTGAGAGTTTAGTGAATCCTTTTTTTTTTTTTGGTGAGGCAATTGGGATTAAGTCACTTGCCCAGGGTCACACAGCTAGTGAGTGTTATGTATCTGAGGCTGGACTTGAACTCAGGTCCTCCTGACTCTAGGGCCAGTGCTCTATCCATTGTGCCCCCTAGCTGCCTCATAAATCATTTAAAAAATTAATGACAAATGGGAGCAGCTAAGTGGGCAAGTCACTTAATCCCAACTGCCAAAAAAAAATTAATGACAAATATAACAATGTAATAATACTATAGACCTATCTCAATCAAAATCATATGTTTACTAAGTGACCTTTTTTGTGCTAGGCACCGGAAGATAACAAAACATAGACTAATAATAAATGACATTTACTAAGAATATAGATATGATCATTGTTGTTGTCGTCATTCAGTCTTGTCCGACCCTTTGTGATCCCATGGACCACAGCACACCAGGCCCTTCCAAACAGAGGGACTCATCTATTGATGTCATATCTTTTAGCATTTTAACACTGTAGTGGGGTTTTCTTGGTGAAGATACTGGAATGGTTTGTCATTTCCTTCTCCAGTGGATCATCTTTTGTCAGAACTCTCCACTATGATCTGTCTGTCTTGGAAAACCCTTCTTGGCATAGCTCATGGTTTCATTGAGCCAAGCAAGCCCCTTCACCAGGACAAGACTGAGGTTTAAAGTTTATAAAGAACTTTACATACATTATCTCATTTAAGCATTACAAATATTTGTACCTTAAGTATCAGAAGAAGGATTGGAACCTAGGTCTTCCTAATTCTAAGTCTATCCTTCCACTATACTAGATAATTGATTATACCTAAGTTTTCCAGGTATTCTCTATGCCATGCTGCACATAATTCTTACTTTAAAGAAGCTAAGAAGGTGAGATTTACATGCATAAAACAATGAGAGAGTAGTTAGGGACTAGCTGGTCTAATGGAAAAAGTACTGGATTTAGTATCACAAAATCTGGGCATCAGCTTTGGCTCTATAATTTCATAGCAGTATGACCACAGACAAGTCACTTTACCTTTCTGAGCCTCAGTTTCCTTATTTGCAAAATATGGATTGTAGCTCACATTTCTAAATAGTACTAGGTTTCCTCACTATAACCCTGTGTTGTGGCTAGTGCAACAATCATATGCCATTAAACAAACAAAAAAACCCACTGGCATTGGGAAGGCCTGATGAGGAACCTCCTTCTATCAATATGAATCAGCACCAGTTCTGCAATTTTGAGGCAGATGCCTTGGGCACCTAGAAGTTAAGTGATTCACTCAGTATTACACAGCCACCATTTGTCAGAGGCAGGACACTGAACTCAGGTCTTCCTGACTTAAAGGCTGACTCTTCTTACTATCCTACAGTGTTGATGATCCCCATTGCAAAGATGAGGAAACAGGGGCCATGAGAAGTGTCTTGCTCAAGGTCATGTAGCAAAGAAATATTGGTGATAGTAAATACTTGTGCTGTTGTGGGGGCAATGAAGATAATGTAGGTCAGCTGCTCTTTAACCAAAATGTACTATAAACATCTGCAATTGTATGAACTACTATTGAGTCTAAGTAGAATAGGGCAGAGAGGAGAGGATAAAAGGGCATTGGGTACTTGGAGGAAGATAAGCCAAAACTTCACTCATTTTACAATTGTGTTGAGCCCTGGCCCCATTTTATATCTCTAATGCTTACAGTTCAATGCTTATGTCTGAAAGTAAAATGTTTTGAGATCCCATTGGTGATAGACTCCAAACTGAATTTAGGGTAACCAGGGAAGCAGAGAACGAACTTCATTGTTTTACTTTAATCTACTCAGAAAATACAGCCTTTTCTAATGAGAATCATTTTACTTCTCATTTTTCTTGACAATGATTTTATATGGCATTTAGATATGGCTTGGACTCAATACCTGGATCTGCCTTCTCCTTTCTACTCTCATGACTACAGCTCTAATTCAGGTATCATTTCCTCTCAATTCATTCAATTATTATGATACCTTCCTAATCTGTCTCTAACTTTGCTCTTTTCTAATCCATTCCTTATGGCACTACCAGCGTTATCCTGATGTGGAGGCCACTGTTTAGATCCAATGTCTTCAGTGGTACCCCACTGCCTACAGGAAGGAGAAAATGCAAATTCCTTTGCCTGGCATTCAGTGTTTTCTATGATCTAACTCCATGATTACTTTACACTTCAGGTATTCTCTCTTCAGGCTGTATGCACTACCAGATATTCTTTGATTTTACTCTACCCTCTCTAGCCTTGGTGCATTTTAAGCACACAGTACCCCCTGGGATGGACTCCTTCCACACTGAGCCCCCTGGCATGGACTCCCTCCAATCACCACCTCTTGAAATCCTTCCCTTCTTTCAAAGCCCATCTCACAGGCTGCATCCTTCAGGAATCTCTCCCTACAGCCCCCTGTTAGAAATGATTCTTCCCTGTCCAATTTCTCATAATCTCTCCTATTCACTTACCACACTCTGATTGTATTGTACTTCTTTTTTTATGTCTCATCCTCATATCAGATTTTAAGTTCCTTGAAGGGTAGGGATTTTGCTGTTTTATAATCTTTGTATTCCCTGTGCTGAACATAGGCTCTTTAACATATCAGGTTTTATAGTCAATGTTTGCTGACTCGTTTGTGGAACTGAGTTCTCAAGACCTATGCTTGTGAACTGAATGTATTGCAACCAAGTCCAGCATCCCAGCCTTCAACGACTGCCTTCTTAGGGCTGATCAGCTGGTAAACCCAAGAAAAATCATAAATGGACCTTCTGTATGAAGTATTTCATTTTTACTGATGCAGGTCACTGAATTTAATCTGAAGTAACCAAAAAAACCCCCTTTTTGTTGCTTAGATGGGCAAGCGTCAGTTATCTGGAAAAGCCCTGTTTTCTGACAGCACTGGGTAAATGAGGTTTGACTGTGTTATGTGTGAATGGGCTAATTTTATATTTGTTGACACAATGCTCTGTAGTCATTCTCAAGTAATTTCTTATATTCATGCTTTGTTTTCCTACAGACTCCTCTGGGGAAGTGAGGAAAATCATCACAGAATCCTGGGATCACAGAGTTGAAAGGAACCTTAGTGGTTATCTAGTCCCACCCCTCCCTGATGGATGATGCTTTCTACAATACCTTTGACCATGGCCACTCCATAAATGCTTGCTGACGGTGTTCTCCAAAAAGTAGCAGCTTAGGCTAGGAATGATGATTAACCTTGTGTTGACACTCAGCTGTGGTGCCCCTGCCAGCATACCAGAATGAGAATGATCTTTGAACTCGAACTCCAAAAGCTGTACTCAGAGGGGGTAGGAGGGGGCTCAGATTCTATGCAGGGATGGAGTTAATTACATTTGTGGCTTCTGCATCCAGAGCTCCTAGGAGGAAGTCAGGCCCTGCAAACACTCTGCAAATGGAATTGGCTTGCTTGGAATGAAACTGATTTTTGCTTATGTTATTTATAGATCTCCTTCAGCATTTCTTTCCCTGGAAGGAGGCTGAGAAGGGGAAGGCTATTAGGGCTATGTTAAAGTCAGTGTGGTGTAGTGACAAGTGTGCTGGATTCAAATCATGACCCTGTTATTTGCTACTTGGGTAATGTTAGGCAAGACAATTTGCCTCTCTAGGTCTCAGTTTCCTTATCTGTAAAATGAGAAGACTGGGCTACATGACCTTTAAGGTTATATCTAGCTCTAGATTCTAAAATACTACCTTTTAGCTCAGGAGACTGGGTCTATCTTAACACACCCTCTGTCCAAGGACCATGGTGGGGAGGCAGGCAAATGTTGGTACAAAACAGAGGAAATTAATGCTGAATTGCCACACAATGTATGTTTATACACACACACACACACACACACATTTCACACTTAATTTCTTAGAGGAGAAAACATTAGTAGCAAAGAAATTTTCTCATTGCAGCACTATTCACACCAGGCAGATCTTCTGATTTCTAACCTGGGTCCCAGTTTGGGAAATGCTGCTCTGCAGCCCTGCACCTGTCAGCAGGAGCCTTGGATTGGTGGCCTCAGCTCTACCACTTACAGTTGTGTGACCTTATTTACCACTCAAGTCCCTTCAGCAGTGTGGTGCAGGGGAAAGAACACTGGATTTGTAGTCAGTCACTGGGTTTGAATTCTGTTCCTTATTACCTGTGACCTTTGGAAATGGATTTTTTTTCTCTTGGTCTTTTTTTTTTTTTTAAAGACTGGGGGATTGATTGGATTAAATGATCCTGTAATACTTTGGTGGATGCGTGATCTCATCTGTGTTGGCAAGGACTTTCCCCAGCAAGGAAGATCAAAAGCCACCCAAGTCTTCTTTATCTGTGAAGCCCTTGTCTACGTCCTCTAGCAATTCCTCCACAAGGGGTCCACCTAACACTGAAGGGACCTTCCTTGAGGTTTCTTGACATTGCA